TAACAGTAGTAGTCATTGTAACAGTAGTAGTCATTGTAACAGTAGTAGTCATTGTAACAGTAGTAGTCATTGTAACAGTAGTAGTCATTGTAACAGTAGTAGTCATTGTAACAGTAGTAGTCATTGTAACAGTAGTAGTCATTGTAACAGTAGTAGTCATTGTAACAGTAGTAGTCATTGTAACAGTAGTAGTCATTGTAACAGTAGTAGTCATTGTAACAGTAGTAGTCATTGTAACAGTAGTAGTCATTGTAACAGTAGTAGTCATTGTAACAGTAGTAGTCATTGTAACAGTAGTAGTCATTGTAACAGTAGTAGTCATTGTAACAGTAGTAGTCATTGTAACAGTAGTAGTCATTGTAACAGTAGTAGTCATTGTAACAGTAGTAGTCATTGTAACAGTAGTAGTCATTGTAACAGTAGTAGTCATTGTAACAGTAGTAGTCATTGTAACAGTAGTAGTCATTGTAACAGTAGTAGTCATTGTAACAGTAGTAGTCATTGTAACAGTAGTAGTCATTGTAACAGTAGTAGTCATTGTAACAGTAGTAGTCATTGTAACAGTAGTAGTCATTGTAACAGTAGTAGTCATTGTAACAGTAGTAGTCATTGTAACAGTAGTAGTCATTGTAACAGTAGTAGTCATTGTAACAGTAGTAGTCATTGTAACAGTAGTAGTCATTGTAACAGTAGTAGTCATTGTAACAGTAGTAGTCATTGTAACAGTAGTAGTCATTGTAACAGTAGTAGTCATTGTAACAGTAGTAGTCATTGTAACAGTAGTAGTCATTGTAACAGTAGTAGTCATTGTAACAGTAGTAGTCATTGTAACAGTAGTAGTCATTGTAACAGTAGTAGTCATTGTAACAGTAGTAGTCATTGTAACAGTAGTAGTCATTGTAACAGTAGTAGTCATTGTAACAGTAGTAGTCATTGTAACAGTAGTAGTCATTGTAACAGTAGTAGTCATTGTAACAGTAGTAGTCATTGTAACAGTAGTAGTCATTGTAACAGTAGTAGTCATTGTAACAGTAGTAGTCATTGTAACAGTAGTAGTCATTGTAACAGTAGTAGTCATTGTAACAGTAGTAGTCATTGTAACAGTAGTAGTCATTGTAACAGTAGTAGTCATTGTAACAGTGGTAGTCATTGTAACAGTAGTAGTCATTGTAACAGTAGTAGTCATTGTAACAGTAGTAGTCATTGTAACAGTAGTAGTCATTGTAACAGTAGTAGTCATTGTAACAGTAGTAGTCATTGTAACAGTAGTAGTCATTGTAACAGTAGTAGTCATTGTAACAGTAGTAGTCATTGTAACAGTAGTAGTCATTGTAACAGTAGTAGTCATTGTAACAGTAGTAGTCATTGTAACAGTAGTAGTCATTGTAACAGTAGTAGTCATTGTAACAGTAGTAGTCATTGTAACAGTAGTAGTCATTGTAACAGTAGTAGTCATTGTAACAGTAGTAGTCATTGTAACAGTAGTAGTCATTGTAACAGTAGTAGTCATTGTAACAGTAGTAGTCATTGTAACAGTAGTAGTCATTGTAACAGTAGTAGTCATTGTAACAGTAGTAGTCATTGTAACAGTGGTAGTCATTGTAACAGTAGTAGTCATTGTAACAGTAGTAGTCATTGTAACAGTAGTAGTCATTGTAACAGTAGTAGTCATTGTAACAGTAGTAGTCATTGTAACAGTAGTAGTCATTGTAACAGTAGTAGTCATTGTAACAGTAGTAGTCATTGTAACAGTAGTAGTCATTGTAACAGTAGTAGTCATTGTAACAGTAGTAGTCATTGTAACAGTAGTAGTCATTGTAACAGTAGTAGTCATTGTAACAGTAGTAGTCATTGTAACAGTAGTAGTCATTGTAACAGTAGTAGTCATTGTAACAGTAGTAGTCATTGTAACAGTAGTAGTCATTGTAACAGTAGTAGTCATTGTAACAGTAGTAGTCATTGTAACAGTAGTAGTCATTGTAACAGTAGTAGTCATTGTAACAGTAGTAGTCATTGTAACAGTAGTAGTCATTGTAACAGTAGTAGTCATTGTAACAGTGGTAGTCATTGTAACAGTAGTAGTCATTGTAACAGTAGTAGTCATTGTAACAGTAGTAGTCATTGTAACAGTAGTAGTCATTGTAACAGTAGTAGTCATTGTAACAGTAGTAGTCATTGTAACAGTAGTAGTCATTGTAACAGTAGTAGTCATTGTAACAGTAGTAGTCATTGTAACAGTAGTAGTCATTGTAACAGTAGTAGTCATTGTAACAGTAGTAGTCATTGTAACAGTAGTAGTCATTGTAACAGTAGTAGTCATTGTAACAGTAGTAGTCATTGTAACAGTAGTAGTCATTGTAACAGTAGTAGTCATTGTAACAGTAGTAGTCATTGTAACAGTGGTAGTCATTGTAACAGTAGTAGTCATTGTAACAGTAGTAGTCATTGTAACAGTAGTAGTCATTGTAACAGTAGTAGTCATTTTAACAGTAGTAGTCATTTTAACAGTAGCAGTCATTGTAACAGTAGTAGTCATTTTAACAGTAGTAGTCATTCTGTAACAGTATCAGTCATTCTGTAACAGTAGTAGTCATTGTAACAGTAGTAGTCATTGTAACAGTAGTAGTCATTGTAACAGTAGTAGTCATTGTAACAGTATCAGTCATTCTGTAACAGTAGTAGTAATTCTTGTATCAATCTTCAGTAAATTTTATTGTTTGGGATCACAGATGATATTTAATGCATGGATCAATTAATTGTCATTCATTTAAAAAGTTCAAATATAGGCAGTTATTCATTAATAACATGATAATGCTGATTTAATGCGATGCTGACAAAACACTAAACAACACTTAAATAAACCCTCAAATTTCTCAAAAAAAAATTCTCTAACATAAAGTCAATATGCATTAGCATAAAATATTTCTGTACACCAAATAAAAACACATTTCATACATGTTATTAAAAGTAACTGATGCCTGGTTCTTGCAGAGGGTGTAATATGGACTAATAGAATCTCTCACCTTGGGGGTGAGATAGGGTAATCTCAACCCAAGGGGTAAGATTCTTAAGTTGCCAAACACGAGGCTTTCCCGAGTGTTCGGCAACTTAAGAATCTTTTCTCGAGGGTTTAGATTCCTCTATCTTACCCACAAGGGGGTGAATGATTCTTTTTCTCTTACCCTGTTCTTCCAATGTGTATCATATATACAATGTAATAACAATGTTACATGCTAAATTCAGGGTTGACGTGTCTTTGATGGATTGTTGACGTGACGTCATTGTATTGTTGAAGTAACGTCATACCATTGTTATGAATATGGGAATAACCCACCGTCTCAACCCTAGGGTGAGACAAGGAAATCTCACACCGGTAAAAGTGCAGATGCACCTGTCCAGGGTAGGAGAAAAAGGGTTTTGCACTATTCCTGAATTTATTTTTATTTTAGCTTAGTTTCTAAATACAACCCTGTATATAAAATCTGAAAAAGGGGTATATACAGGGTAATTTATAGTAGAACTACTGGTATATAAACCCAATCCAACAACACTATCAAAGATCAACAGAGACACCAGATTATCTTTTTAACAAATTACGCTATTTTCAAGATAAAAAAAATTCTCAAGAAATTGGAACTTCATTCAAAAACAAGTATCCAGTTCTGACCTTCAGACCCCTCAGCATAACTGTGTGCAATCTTCTAGAGTGAGAGTCAGGAAATTCACAACAAAATTTAAACTGATTCTCCTAAAAAGTTCATCCCCATTTGCTAAGTTCTTTTTCTATTCACTTTTAAGAATTAACACACCACAAGGATGTCATTATAACAATAAGCCCAATGGGCTTGCATCGCTCAACTGGTATTTATCTTACACTTAGTGTAGCCTAAAAGTGGACTAAAATAAAGCTACAGGCAAAATATCAGTACCAATGACTTTAAGTCATTTGAACAAACTTATATAGCCCCTCATCCATGTATGATACTGGGCTATATCATCAGTCTTGGTCTGTTGGTTATTCATAAGAAGTCATTTAAAGGTTTTTAAATACAATGGACTCCTCTGACCTTGGATATGGGTGATGGCATCAGAACAACATTGGTAGCCTTCTACCTGAAGCTGCGTGATTCTTGCTATTAGTATCATCACTCTAGCCATTTTCAATTGGTAATTCATAATTAGTTTGTAATTTTAAACATATTTGACCCCTGTGACCATGAATAGACATGGTAGCCCTTCATCCTAGCAAGATTCTATCAGCATCCTGTCACTTTTGGTTATTCAGAAGAAGTTGTTTAAAATTTTAAACATATTGACCCCTGTGGACATGAATATGAGTGAAGGTGTCATACATTTGATCAAACTTGGTAGCCGTTCATCCCAGCAATTGTTACCAGCCAAATATCATCATCCTGGTACTTTTGGTTATTCAGAAGTTGTTAAAAGGTTTTTCTTAAGATGTACAGTTGACCCCTGTGACCTTAAATATGGGTGATAGTCTTCAATTTGAATAAACTTTGACACCCTTAATCCAGCATGCTTCTGGCCAAATGCCATTACTCTAGCCATTTGGGTTATTCAGAAGAAGTTTTTAAAAGTTTTTGGTATATATTTGACTCTTGTGATCTTGAATATGGGTGACGTTGATTCATTTGATCACAGCTGTTTGCCCTTAATTTAACTAAGCTTCTTGCCAAATATCATCACTCTGGGCCTATTGGTTTTTGAGAAGTTGTTGTTTAAAGAAAAATATTGAAGCCAGACAGACGGACCACAGACGCTTCACCATGGCTTATAGCTTACTAAATACATGTATTGTACCAAAAAATACCCAATATGAAATCAAATGCTATATTGATTCTAATAAGTAGCAAAGACCTCTTATACAACACAAACAAAATTGAAGTATGCCCATTTTTCTTTTTTTGGGGGGGGG